CACATATTTTGGGCACATGGCTAGGAGGTACTAGTCCTTGGAAAAGGATATCATGCTTGGAAAGATGTAGGACAGTGCAGGAGAAGACCCTGGATGAGACTGATTGACATGGTAACTGGGACAATGGGATAATCTAATTGGAGTCAGACTGGCTCAGGATAAGGCAGTTCAGAGCTCTTGTATATAAATCACTATGAGTCCCTGACCACTTGATGGCACATGAGAACAACAACATGTGTTGTAAATCTTAATCCCTATGATATCAATGAGGTGTGATTAGTCGCGATTATGTAAATGAGACCAATATAATCAACATGATTAGGATGTATCATAAGATCAGCTGATTTATAAAAGAGTTTAAATAAACAAAAAGAGATCAGAGGGATCAGATGACCGCCAAGAAAGAAGAGCTGGGAGCCAAAATCAGAGACACCTTTGGACCTGGGGTCCCTTTGCTGGGAACCTCCCAGGACAGGAGACACAGAGAAAGCCTTTCCCTCGTGCCAGCCCTCTGAATCCCAGCTTCTAACCTGATAAGGTGTGAGAAAATAAATGTATTTGATAAAGTTATCACAGGTGTGTCATTTTATTACAGCAGCACTAGATAACTAAGATACTATTATTGGTTTATAGTTTCCTGAAAAATAAAAGTATGGTAGCAAATCACCCTTTCTTTAAATGCAATTTCTATTTAGTTTTTAACCTCTGTTTCATATTTTAGCACACAGTTATTTGTTGAGAGTCTATAAACAGCAATGTTGTAGGATCTGGACATAAAAAAAAAAAACCAGGCACAGCTGTGCACAGTTTCAGTGGTGTGTCAGTAACAGTAATAGAAGGTTATAAAACAATTAAGTTAAATACAGCATTAGAGGAAAGTACAATAGGATACAGGACAGGTGGTTCTGTAAAGCGGCAAAAAGTAAATAAAAATTTAGACTTGGCTGGTAATATGATTTAAAAGGAGGGCACTTATCTTAACTTGAAGACGTTCCCAGAGCTTTGATGAAGGCATTATATCTTATTTTTAAAAAAGGATTAAGGAGTTGGATAGGTAAAAGAGTGTAGAAAACTTTAAATAGACAAAAGAGAAAAAAGTACCATCCAAAAAAACAGTATGTGAGGTCTCCCAAATTCACCTGGTGCTATGGATTTAACTACAACTCACAGCAACCCATCAACAACAGATGAAATCGTTGCCCTACACCGCATCATTGTCATGATCTCTGTTCATCATTATGGTCAAACTAGAAACAAATACGAGAATTTGAGAGAAGACTTAAATTTTCTCTTCTATATTTGGAAGAAGAGTGTACATTCTCCCACAAGCAAGGGAGATGGACAGTTTTCTGAGAACTCTGAAAGAAATTTCTTTGAAATGGAGAGCAGGAAACCAATTAAAAGACTACGACACTGTGGTTACATCAATGAACAGGAACAATTAAAATAAAATGTCTGCAGTTGTGATTATCTTCCCATCGACATCACTGTTATATTTTATCTATATCATGATGAAAGACAGGAGAGAAAAATTATGTGTCTGAATTCTCCCAGAATCATTCTATGAAGCAAACATATACTTGATACCAAAAGCCAGGTAAAACCACCACCAAAATAAAAAACCATAAGCTATATCTCTCATGAACATAGATGCAAAAATCTTAAATAAAATCCTGTCCAAGAGAATCCAATGATAGATTACAAAAAAAAAAAAAAAACCACCAAAAAAACCAAAACACACACACACAACCCCAATTCACCATGACCAACTGGAATTCATAACAGGTAAGCAAGAATAATTCAACATACGAAAAATAATCAATGTATTTCATTACATTAACAAAGCAAAGAACAAGAACCACATGATCCTATCAATTGATACAAAATCCAACACCCTTTCCTGATTAAAACACTCAACAAAATAATATTAGAGGGGAATCTCTTCAACATAGTAAAAAGTATATATGCAAACCTGAGAGCCAACACTGTTCTCAATGGAGAGAAATTAAAGGCATCCCTTTAGAGAACAGGAACTATGTAAGGATGCCTACTATCACCTCTCCTATTCAATATTGTACCGGAAGTCTTAGTAATAGCAATAAGACAAGAGAAGAAAATAAGAGGTATCCAAATTGGCAAAGGGGAGGTAAAATTATCTCTATATGCAGATGATAATGATAGTATACTTAGAAAACCCTAAAGGCTCAGCAAGAAAATTACTGGACATAGTTGACCAATTTAGCAAAGTGGCAGGATACAAGATCAACATACAAAAATCAATTGGATTTCTCTACAGTGACAAAGAGAATACCAAATTGGAGCTAATGAGATGGAAAAGGCAATCTCCAATTTCATTTGGAATGGAAAGAGGCCCCAAATAAGCAAAATACTCCCTGAAAAGAGAAATAAGATAGGAGGCATCCCACTCCCTGATTTCAAATCCTACTACACTGCCGTGGTGGTCAACACAACGTGATACTGGTACAATGACAGGCACAAAGATCAATGGAATAGAACTGAGAACACAGAAATCAGCCTATCTACCTATGGACAAATTATTTCTGACAAGGAGATGAAATCAGTCAAGAGGGGAAACGACAGCCTTTTTAACAAATGGTGCTGGCAAAACTGGAAAACTATCTATAGAAAACTCAAGCAAGATCCACAAATCACACCATACACAAAAACCAACTAAAGTGGATCAAGGTCCTAGAACTAAAATCAAGGACTATAAACTTCAATAGAGAAAAGCTTGGGAGAACTCTAAGGCCCTAATCCAAAACATAAACAGTCTTCCAAGCATCCTGAAAAACCTACAACCAGGAGAGGATAAAATAGATTAACGGGACTTTCTAAGAATAAAATCCCCATGCATATCCAAAAATTTCAACCAAAAAAAAGGGAAGCCACAAACCAGGAAAAAAATATTTAGTAATGACATGTCTGACAAGGGAGTTATATCTAGAATTTATAAAACACTTGAGCATCAAAACAAGATAAAGGTAAACAACCTAACTGAAAAATGGGCACATGATAGCAACAGACATTTCACCAAAGAAGATACTCAGCTGGTGAACAAACACATGAAGAAATGTTCAAAATCCCTAGTTCTAAGAGAGATGCAAAGTAAAACAACTATGAGATATCATCTCACCCCAGTAAGAAAAGCAAAATTTAACAGAACAGCAAAAAACAAACGCTGGTGAGGTTGTGGAGAAACTGGAACTCAGAAACTGGCTAAGGAATTAATTGTTGGTGGCAGTGTAAAATGGTGCGACCAGTATGGAAGGCAGTATGGCGCTTTCTCAAAAAGTTGCAAATAGAAATACCACTTGACCCAGAAGTTCCACGACTGGGAATATATCCTAAAGAACCCAGAACTGCCACCCAAGCAGATATATGCACAACCATGTTTATTGCAGCTTTGTTCACAACAGCAGAGTTGGAAACAACCCAAGTGCCCATCAACAAACAAATGGACAGAGAAGCTGTGGTATATTCACACAATGAAAGACTATGCTGTGTTGACAAACAAGAAACTCATGAAATATTATACAAAATGGGTGACCCTGGAGGACACTATGCTGAGAGAATATCTCAGTCAAAAAAAGGAGAAATACTGCATAGTGCCACTGATGTAAAACGGGACTGACATTGAGGTTGGGGGAAACTAAGAGGGAATAAATTACATATACTGCATTGAAACAGATGAGGGACAGAACTGTTTAGAAGGAATATATGATTAGGTATTACTGTCACGACAAGAGTCCAGAATGACGCAGAGTGGAGTGGACCAAGTTTGGGGGGCAGTGGACTGTATAACAATGAAAGATTTTTTTTTAACTTTTCAAAGAGAAAAGTGAACTGAGGGGAAGGGTGGGCAGGGAGGAAAGCATGTGTCAATGAATAATTGGAAACAGTCTCTGTTCATTAAAATAAAAAAATTATAAATCTATTCATTAAAATAAAAACATTATATATGTGTGTGCGTGTGTGTGTATAAACAAACTATATGTCTGCTCTGTGATGAATTACAATGACCACATTTCACAGAAAATTCAAAACAAGACTTAATTCTAAAACTCCTACAACTCCCAAAAACCCAATGAGAAACCTCTTTCATTGCCAACAGTTCTGTTCCTCAACCTCTGGTTACCAGAATGCCTCAATCATCTAATTTCTAAGGGATAAAAGATTGTTAATGAAAGTACTAGGCGAAGGAATACAGGACAGGTAACACACTTGTTAACTTGTAACATATAATACACTTGTTCTGTGAAGAGCTGGAAAGTAATTATTTCATACTTGCAGGTAACCTAGTTTCTGCCAAATGTATTCAACTCGGCCATTGCAGTACTAAATGAAAATCTAAACAATGTGCAGTAGAGCCAGAACCACCACAGAGCTAACCCTCTGGCGGATTTCCCAAGGCTATAAACTACATGGGAGGAGATGGCTCATCTGCCACCCTTGGAGCCACCGGTAAATTCCAAATGTCAGCGAGGTGCCACCTTTGAGTCAGCAGCATGACTCAACTCCATATGACATTGCAACCATAGCCTCACACAGTAGCACAAAAGCAACCATAAATGACATGAACATAGTAAGTGAGATTTTGTTCTAAGAGAACCAAATTTATAAGAGAGACATTATGTCAGATTTGGAACACAAGCCATAGTCAGCTGACTGCTTTCTTAGAGTATTAACATCTTATTTCTCGAATATCAGAGAATATATTGATAGCTGTATTGTCAACGCAAAGGCACTCAGTTCAAATCCATTCACCATTCTGCAGAAGAATGATGGGCAATCTCCTTCCATTTAAATAATTGCCTCTGAAAATCCGCTGGAGGGTCAGCTATGGATTGGTTCCAATTCAATGGTACATAACAAGAGCAACAATACTAGGACATACTCAAATGTCTCATCTAAGAGTATTTTCACAAAGAAACAAGTCATATTCCTTTTTTCTCTAAATATAAGAAGACTACAATACTTACTGTAACACTGGTAACTCTGATGTAATCATTGCTGAAGAGGTCTAGCCACCAACAAGCAAAAGAAGGAAGTGCTGAACAACTTGAAACTTTTAAAACCACCTCGAAGTCAATCTGTTAATGGGGGGAGAAAAGAAGATTATTTAAAAATAAAACTAATGGGGGAAAAAAACACCTAATGTATCAAAATACATAAACCATAATTTGTACCTTTTACCAGCGTAAGATTACAGTCACCTAGCAATCTGGAACTGTCCATTAGATCTGAAGTAAAGATCTTTTCCAAGATTTCTAAAACATGTTACAACATGTGGTTACTAAATTAACCAAAATATCATCTCTGTACAACCTGTCATAATGAATATGAAGAACACTTGCCCACACTTTTGGAAACACTGTTCAAATTAAGTAATATTTATATATTAGTATAAAATTTGAAAAAATAATTTCCTCCCCAGTGTTACGTCCCTTCGTTATCTTTAATAGTAACTGTAAAGTTAATTATATGCCTTGTCTATATTTACTTGTAGGCTATGTAATAAGTACAGATCTTTATGTTCAAGGTGTTTTTCAAGCTATTAAAGAGGACACTTTCTTTATAAAGCAATATATGAAGAAACCCAAAAGAGCATACATTAAACTATTAACAAAGATTAACTTCTCTGCAACTGTTCTGAAAGGGGACATAATCTGAGGACACAACATAAAATAATGCAAATAAGGCCACATAAAACAACATCACTGCCTTCAAGCTGATTACAACTTGTGGTGACTCTCAAGTTTCCAAGGCCACAAATCTTTGCAAAAAAATTATTTCTACTGAGCAGCATGTGGTGGATACTATGGCACTCAAGCGCACCACACACACACACACACACACACACACACACACACACAAGTTTTTATTTAAAAAGCACCTGACAGAAAAACTTCAAAATCTACAAATACCTGCAACTGGCAAAGGCTGAAGAACTATAAAGTATACAAACTCACTGCCCTATTATATCATTATTTAAACTTAAGATTAGGAACATTGTGAAAAATGGGAAAATATCAAAATAATACACTGGTCAGCAATTTTAATCCACCAGCTGCTCTGAGGGAGAACAACAGACAGTGTCCTTCTATAAAAATCTACAGCCTTGGAATCCTGATGGTGAGCCATCACCAGTCAGAATCAATTCAAGAGCAGTGGGTTTGTAAAGTGGGGGGTCAATGAAGGAGGGAAAGATCGGTCTACAATGTACAGACACAGAAGCTTCAACATAAAGTAGGGGGTCAATGAAGGAGGGGACAATCGGTCTACAATGTACATCGACACAGAAGCTTCAACAAGGGATGTGAACACAGGAGACTGCGAGGATTGCCTGGCAACAGCGAGGGCTTCATTCTATTGCACAGAAGGTCACAATGAGTCACAACTTATCAAGAAGAGTAAAGAAAACAAAAGCACAAATAAGAAAATAAAAATACCTCAGAATATTAAAAACAAAGGGAAAAAATCAATAAATAAAGAACATCCAGATAAGGAAGAAAATGCCCACAAAGATATTCAGAGGGAAATGAATCCTGAAAGAGGAAATGAGTTTATCTTAGGGAACTTTTGTATATAGACATAATAAAATATAAACTGGTGGATGTACAGGGATGGTGCTTTTTTTTTTCTTGTTTGTTCTTGCTTTTAATGCTATTTATTTAATGATGTTTTCTGTGAAAGCTTACACAGCTATTTAGATTCTTATCCAATAATTCTTATACAATTTGTTCCACATTACTGGCAATATCCTTCACAATGGATGAACATTCTCATTTGATGGTAAATATTTTTAAGAGTAAGAAATTATGAAAATACAGCCACTTTAAAAGAAGAACCTAACAGTTAAATTCAGGATTTAATAAAGCTAAAATGGGCTCAAGGATATCAGAGATTGAGAAGATGGCAGGCAGGGTTCGCTCGATGCCACATAACAACAAAATGTGTGGAATGTTTACTGCTGGTGATCAGAAAAGAGAAGATAGATGCTATCACTTAAAAAATAACTTCTTCAAAGTATAAGTCAACTTCAGTTTTGTAAATACTAATAACTTTAAAGACTAGTTAAATATTGTTGCTATAGAGAGCAAGTACAGAGATAATAAAATATTTATATATTACATATTAAAAGACAGTCTTCCCTAGAATTAATTCTGTGATAAGGAGAAAATTCAGTATCTTAAATTTAGCAAATGTGTGAGTATAAACAATTACAGAAATTAGTATACACATGACTTATTGTATCTATTACTTAGCTCTATCTGCTAAGAAACAAGGAAGGAAGGAAAGGAAGGGAGGGAGGGAGGGAAGGAAGGAAGGAAGAAAGCAATCCCGCCATGTCCAGATCTTGACTTCTAAATACTATTCTAAAATAAAGGAAATCAGAATTCAGGAAAGATAAAGACTCATCCCAAGGCTGGAGCAAGAAAATAAAATGTGTGAAACACAGAGTTCCACGAGAAAGCTTGTGTTGAGGGTGAGTGAGGTGTGCTGTGATAGGAGCATGGAGAGAGAAACAGCAGCTTTCAAGGTAAAAGGTAGAACAACCGAAGAAAACAATATTGGATTATAAAATAAGCATTCAACAAATATGCATGAATCTGTACAAGTATAAAGAAGGAAAGGAAAAACAGAGAAGAGTCAAACTTTCCTTATAATTAAACCAGCTCACTGCTGTTTAGCCAGTTCTGATTTAATAGAGATTCTAACAACAAAGTCAAATGCCCCACTGAAATCATACATCTTGACGGAAAGTATTTCCTTGTCTTTCTCCTGTGGAATGGCTAGTTGGTTTGAACTCCTGATCACTTCATTCATAGCCCAACACTCACTCACTATGCCACTAAGACTCTTTAATGTCTTTATGAAATCTCAAATCAAACTTACTACCCTCCAGTCGATTATGGCTCCTGTTGACTCTTCATCCCGAGGCTATAAATCTTTATTTAAGTGCGCAGAGAGCCCTAACAAAAGAGAACCAGTGGATTCAAATGACTAACCTTCTGATTCATCATGCACCATGTCACCAAGGCTCCTTAAGTCTTTCTTATATAGGATTAAACATGTAAGAAAATACCTTCAATACAGGAAGTAAATTTTAAACACCTACACTTATCTCCAACACACACTGAGAACAGGCTGCACTTAATGGTTTCCACAACAAGAAAAGGGGAAAGGGAATAACGTAAAATTATTATTTTAATTTGGAGAAACCTCCACAGCCAAGAAGGTTACTATGACCACTAATACGATGTGAAGGGACAGCGCAGGAGGGGAAGGCCCTTTATGAGGTGGATTGATTCAGTGACTGGGATAATTGGGATGGGAGTGTTAGAGACAGTGCGATTGGCACAAGACAGCAGAGTTTAGGGCTGTTGTACAAAGGGTCGCTATGAGTCGCAAGCGACTCGACAGCACATAACAACAACAACAATACCATGTGGCTAATATGTGCCCCCTGGTCATTTAGTGCTGCAGTCCTTGAAGAGGGACGTCATGCTTGGGAAGATGAAGAGACAGTTCAAGAGAGAAAGATCCTCTATGAGATGGATTGACTCAATGACTGGGGTTATAGGGGTAGATGTGTCAGAGACAATAAGACTGGCACAGGATAGAGATGGGTTTAGGGCTGCTGTACAAAGGGTCGCTATGAGTAGCTGGTGATTTGATGTCACGTAACAAAAATAACATAAAATATCACAAATAGTAACTTTAACAAGTAAACTTTTTTGTTCACAGTTGAGGAGGTCAGAGGGCACAAAAACTTGGGGAATGCTCTCTGTGTTGGCTCTGAGAGAACGTCTCTATTTTTCTTTTGTTTTTCCTGGTTCTTTGGAAACCTCATGTGGCATGATAGCAATGTTCTCTCATCTCTGCTTGCTCATTCTGCTCTTTTTAGATCTCAAAGATAAATTTAAGGCATATTGTACAGTAACACCATATTAATTAACACAACAAGGTAAAGCTGTAAGCACAGGAACAACGATTTTAAGAGTCAGGTACACATTATTTCTCGGGGGCATAATTCAACCCATAACATCCTTAAAATGTTGTAATGAGACCAACTCTTCACCTCTGTCATATTCTTCTACCAAAATCCTTAACTTCAGTCAAACTGTGACAATAGCATCAGAAAACCCTACCTGAGGAAGAGCACTCCTCAAGACTGCCAGGGCCATGAAAAATAAGGAGAGGAGGAACAATTGCCATAAATCCAAGAACGAGGTGCTAAAACAATGAAATATAAAGAGGTATGCTAGAATGACTCATGGAAAAAGTGATAAAATTCAAATAAAAGACTGGACTTTAGTTACCAATTATGTCACTTTTTTAGTTCTGATAAATGAGAATGGTAATGTAAGATGTTAATAATGTAAGAAAATATGATGCCGTATAAATAGGTGCTCACTATACTTTCCCAATTTGTCAGAATATTTTCAATTATTTAAAAATAAAGTTTATTGTTTAAAATGGTCTTTTAAGCTATCACAAAAACGATTACTTAAAAATATGTATTAATTTGTAAATAAACTAGTATTTTAAAAAAATGTATTATTTCCGAAGGTGATGACCTCTGAATAAGAACATCCCTCTAACAAAGGATCTCCTTCATCTGTCTCCAAAAGAGATGAGGAAGCACAAGAAGAAACGGCTGGTGCAGAGCCCTAATTGCTATTCCATGAATGTGAAATGCCCAGCATGCTATGAAATCACCACAGTCTTCAGCTATGCTTAAACAGTAGTTTTGTGTATTAGCTGCTCCACTATTCTGTGTCAGACTACAGAAGGAAAAGCACGGCTTACAGAAAGATGCTCCTTCAGAAAGAAATACCATTAGAGAAATACACTGAATCAAGATGGAAAACATCTCAATAAACAAGGGGTGTGTGTGTGTGTGTGTGTGTGTGTGTGTGTGTGTGTGTAATCTCACAAATCTGACTATCCTTTTGTTCAGAGAGAGAGAAATAAAGAGGATGCACTGAAATTACTCTGAATTGCAAAATATTGATGGATAGATCTAAACATGAAAAAAAGAAATTTGTGTATTATAAAAACAAGGTGACTACTTTTATAATTTTTG